GTTTAAAATGAATAAAGAAAAAATTGTGATAAATTGTTCCATTACCAGAATTAATTGACTGTTAATAAAATCCTTGAGGAAATAATTTAGAAAGTGGAATATCGAATAGCTTTCGATATAAGGCATAAACTATATAAGGAATATTTTACATAATATGGGTCTATAGAAATTAATGCCTGTTTTTTGAGCATTTCGGAACTGAATGCGGGGCATATTTATAATTAGGTAACTTTTTATTATATATTAATTTAGATATTTACTAATTCAGATAGCGTATTTAAGCGATGATGTCTATTATATAATTGTTAAAGCAATCACAAAGGTTTAACTACAACTTCCAATTAGTTAAAGACTATCGGAACTGGGGGAAACCTTCATCTCGTTTCAGAAACTGTTGCGTGCACTGACGAGCTAATCTCCATCAATTATTGCATAAATTGAATGCAACTAATTGAAAATAGTTTAAGCTAATAATAAAGATATTTAGCCCCCTATCAGGCGCACTCCCACCGCCCCGGGCATGCAGCGAAGCGAAGCGAATCGAAGTGCAAGTCGTAGTCGGAGTCACGTGATTGACAAATACTTCAAATATTTCTATGTGTTATTTGTGGTAAAACGTGTGAATTTCCAACGAAAAGCGTAGCTTCTTGTGCCTAGTGTCAATGGTGGAGTGTGGAGTGAAAATGTGAGAGGGGGAGGCGGCGGGAGATTGAATAATAAAATAACCTTCCATTTGCGTGTTGTCTTATACAGTTGGTGGTGCCATAAATTGTTTTATTTATTTTAATTGTTCCTGAACATTTTCGCCGTCTCTGCCGTTATTTATTTTATTTAATTAACTTAATTTTTATTTATTGAATGTTTACAGAACAACATACAAGCAGTTGGAAAAGAATAATAAAATAAATATGCCGAAGAAGAAGCAGATGAATGAAACGCGCTCCGTTTTGTTTACACTTTTCAGTTGCACTCGACGTTTCCTCTTATTTGATTAAATGCTGTTCTTTATTTAATCAAATGAAACGTATTCAATTGAAAGTCAGTACAGGAGCTGTTCAGGTGAGCGAAGGGGTGTTGGTAGGGGGGGGGGGGGGGGGGAGTGACAGCATGGCTTGTCAGCGGGGTGCGACAACCTTTTTTTTTATATTGTAAATTTTTTCTGTTGATTTTTTTTCGTTCGTTGTGTTTTGTTTTGTTACATTGCAGTAACTTCTTGACAATTTTGACAAATTAAAATGCAGGCAAACAGCAGCAGCAACAACAATTGCCAAGGCTTTTGTGTCAGTGTGTGTGTGTGTGTGTGTGCGCGCGTGAGTGTGTGCGACATTTTAACTGTGACAAACATCGAGCTGACATTCTATTTGCATTTCGTAACATTTATGTGCATGTGTGCGTGTGTGCGTGTGTGTATGTGTATATGCTTGTGCTTTATACAGTTATATAAAAGCGATAAATAAGATGCCTAATTCATGCAATTTACGTGGCAGGGCCAACGTGACGTATGAGTGATATACAAAGCGGCTAGCAAATTATCAACAAGATGCACTGGAAAAGCCCTCGCAACAATGCACTGAAAAGCTCTGGGAAAACAGTTAACGGCATTACGACACCCACATTAAAAACTGTAGTTTCTCAACTGTCACAGGTACTGTAACTGGTATCCTGTGCTGAGAAACACATTTCGTTGCACACGCAACGGCCCGTCAGGGCAATCAAATGACCAACCTGAATTTGAATACCTATTAAGTACAACTTGGTATACGCAAGCCCACAGGCAAGGCCCACAATAACGAGCTCTTCGTGCCAATAGGACATTTGTATCAGTTGGTGTTCAATAAAAACTTGTTTAAAACTTACAAGTGTACTCTATATTTACACAGTGCCACAAAACAAGCCTTTTTTTTTACATTTTTGTACATTCTATTTTCTATTTCCATAATATACTTTTCTTTATTTGAATATTTACTATATATTATTAAATATTAAAATTGTTTATGTTTGCCGATCAATGCTTTGGATCCTCGTTGATCTCTCGCCAAATTGACTAAAGTTACTTAAATAATCCTTATACGAGGCATTCAAACTCATATAAGGTAGGTATTGTATGCATATATACGTGTATTATTCATGGCTTGACTAAATATCTCCTCAATTTTATCCTTTCTTTTGTGTTATTTATGTTCTTTTATATGGGCTCTGGTTAAGCTGCTTCGCTTAAGATATACTTGTTAACATTAAATCAGGTAACTTCTTATTTTGAATCTATAATAAATATATTAATCTCGCATAGGTCAAAGAAATATTGCAGATGCAGCAACACGAAAATCTCTCTTAAAAATGTTCAAGACAAACTAAATAGGTGGGCGACGTTCGTTATAAGCAAGCTGGACTGTATTAAATATATATATAGTATATTAGGTATTTAGGTATTCTGTATGTTATTGTATCTGAAGCCAAGTCCGCAAATAACAGGTCACGACCAGTTTGGAGCGCTTGCAAGTCGAGCGGCAAGCAAATAAGTAGTTAATAAGTATTTATGATGTAAACACGGAGCAGCTCACAACTGTCGCTATTAATAGTATTATTATTTTACCAACCAGCATACGAAACTATATAGTGCTATATTGTACGAATATAAAGTCACATAAATGTCTGTAAACTGTTTATATTTGCATTCACGAACAACCCACCGACTGGCCACAACATCCATCACACCTTCGACACCTCCAGCGATACGATCTCTCCAACCTGAACGTGTGCCAGCTGTACAATCACAGACAACTCCGGGCTGTATTACCCTCTTATCCCCTTGACTATGACTGTGTAACGATTCACTCGGATTACGTATATATATAGGACGAAGAATATATCAGGGCATAAATATGCCATATATCTGGCCGCAAATACCCTTTTATTATAACCTTTAACCTTTTGGGGCACTAACAACTTATTTATGTTTCTACTCTCGACCATTATTAGGGACTGTTGAAAAAGATATATCTGCGCTTTCTTTATTAACTGGAGAGTTTGATGGCTTTAGTCTGTATTATGTCTGATATGAAAGTCACAAACATATCGAGTAAATTGTCTTAAGTATAGACTGTGAAGAGTCAGAAGGTCACGTAAGCGAAACACTCATGAATTGTCCGTCTAGATTTATTGATATTTACAATATATACCTATATATATATATACAAATAACTAAGTACATTTATATGCCGTTATTTGTTGAGAATTAAGTTCGGGAGCCTCAACTATTTGCTTAGTTAGTTAATATTACGAAACAGATAATGCGATAAGTGCGCCATACACTCTCCTTAATGTATATATTTATGAATATCAGGTAGCTATGCCACTGAATTAAATTACTAATTTGAAATATTCAGCAACAATATTCAATGCTCAAATGAGTGTGTTATCATAGAGGCAACTGTGAATAGCGAATACTCACGTGTAACTGGTAATTACATATACCCCTTAATCAAAAAGCCAGTATAATGGATTATTATAGAGTTGTGACAATGTATGTAACAGTAAGAAAAAGTAAATTAGAAATATTCCTAATTGAAATCCCGTAGTAAGCGAAGTGAGCTGCAGGCTCACAGTTCACTAAAATTGTTGTGCCTTTTAAGCAATAACTAAATAATAATATTATTTATTATTTAGTTTTTTTTTTTTTATCTAGATATACTAATATTGTCCCAGTCCCATAATTATTTGATTATTTGCTCTCTTAATCTAAAATTAAAAATACAATTTTCAAAATTTTTATATTTTGATAACATTATGAGAATCTGTTGATTTGTTTATATATTAAATTTCTTATTACCTGGCGACAGGATATCTTATAGTCGACTTAATTTTATGTACACATCGCTTCAATTTCTTTCCTTCTATCGTACTCTCGATTTCATACATATTTGAACCAGAGTACAGGGTATGGCTGAGTCGACTACTTCATTCAATTGTTAGGTTATGCGTGGGCTACCTTGCCAAGTGCAGTATTAAACAATGAAGTCCTTAATATATGTGATTATGATCCTAAGCCAACCTCTAGATATACACATGCATATTTATTTTTGCAAATATATGTACATATATATATGTGTATACCCATATCTCATAGAGTTTAAATAAACTTATTTACTCTGGTAACACTGACTCACAAAATTCAACTTTTGCATTAGGCATGCGATCTAATCCTATCCATGGCATATGAATATATATGTATATATGATCTTGAAAGAAAATTTGCCTCAAAAATGTTAACCAATGCACAGTTTTTCATTGAAAATTTGAAGAATAAAATTGTCTAGAAGCAGGTTTGCTAAAATTAAAATTATATGATATATTTTCCGTCTTATGCACAACAAATAACAATGACTATTGCATTAACATATATTTAAGAAACTGCTTTAAGAATCTTAATTAAAACTTGATAAGCAAATGCTTCTTATCATTTCAAAATAAGTGTACCATAGAAAAGTGTTAGAACATGATATTTGTGCCGCCAACTCGCAATTTGGCTGTTGCATAGTGTAATGTGGCCTTTCATTGGATTTTTATGACAACTGTAGAAAAATGAAGCGAGTAGGTCTTACAATTAATGTAAACCAATGCCAATGGCAGCTCGACCACGTGAGATACACCCAGATATTGTGCCAGGGAATCCGCTGAAAAGAGCAAATGCGAGCTTCTACAATATATTACTGGGTGTCATAAATTCTCCGGGTGTTTGGGCATCACGCGCCAACGGATGAGAAATAAGAATGAGTTCAGTTGCTGAAATGGCGCTGACTTTGAGCCGTCGGTAAATAGCAATGGGGATTACGGGAGCCGAGCGTACCATTCCGTTTCGCTGGGATTACGAATATGTAGATATATTTTGCTTATCAAGTGCACAGCGAGAACTTTGGGTGGTAAATTACGCGACATTTTTGTGCATGAATATGAAATCTTGTTTATTTGCATTTAATTTAGATATAAGAATAATACTGCCCATTAAATCAGTGAAAAGATCAAATAAACTGCCAACGGGGATGCCACCCACAAAATGGAACAAATTCAAAATTCTATATATAGAGCATACACAATAGCAACAGTTGTAGAATATTCTCTATACGGTCAATATTCAGATGACATTGTTAGGGTCTTTAGGCCAAGCTAACTGTGCAGTAGATCAGTATACAGGTCTTCATATTACCGGCACTAAGGTGCAATACGGCCTTCAGATTTCCCTCGATGTCCCAACGGGGCAAATTTCGCACTACCATGCGATTGGAAACGTTTGTAAAGCTGTAAACTTGCTAAAGAAGAACGGAAAATTATTAAGATTATTGTTTAAATTATTATCATTATTCGCATTAATAATAATATTATTAACTGTCGAACCCACGTAAAGACAAAATATATATAAAGATTATTAGAATTATTTTCTCTATATTTTTTTTTCTATATTTGTTTTTTACTAAACTACGAAATAGTTTTATACTTTTCTGCACTTATCCCAATGAGAATATATAAGGCTTAGTAAAATGTTTATTTACGACCTCAAGATGGATTTGGGTTGCAGACGTTTCCTGATTATCAGCTTATACTGCCAGCATATTCAAAACCTGCTGTGAGCCCGTGAAATTTAGGAATTAAAAAGTGCACCGAACACTCAAAATGCTGTACAAATAATTGAATTTGAATTGGGTTTAACAGATGGAAAACTTACGCCTTGCTGCGGTGGACATGTGCGCTGCTGCTTGGATATCTGTGTAATATAGTATAGGTGCCAGACCTCAAATGGATCCTTTAGGGACTTGCAAAAGTTGTCACGTTTTAGGGTAACAAATGTGGGCACCCACTGACCACGCTCCCAGCGGCTGACGTCCACCTCGAATTTAATGGGACTGCGTGGCAGTGCCCGTTTTATGATAATGTCGCCGCTTATGTAAAGCGTTTCATAGTCATTGTCGAGGACAGTCGTGAGGTGGGTTTCCACTAGCTCACTCAATGCCACATTGCCCTTGTCGTCAGTGCTGTCGCACGACTCCTGGATCAATTGCTCATCGAGGAATACATTGTAGTTAGCGGTCTGCCAGAAAAGAACGAGTACAAGGAGTTATATATGTACATACTTCATTCTGAGTAGGTTGGGGACAAACTCACCTCGGCGCCATGCTGCAGCAGAGCTGTCAGCAGGTAGACGATATGGGGCAGTCGTGACATTTGGACCCAAACGGCAGCTGCTGTGTTGCAGATGCAGCAGATGCAGCAAATTTATAGCCCATTTAGCTGCTGCGGCTAATTGGAGGGCAATTTGATTTGAATGCAAGTGTGTTTATCGCAGCGTCTATCGGCCTAATTACCAAACAGCCCAGACCCATTTAGCATTTAATTGCCACTGATTTCGCTTTTGATTTAAATTATAATTCCAATTCGAATTCCTATCCGATTCGATTCCCACTCAGCATTTTAAAGTTGTCGCGGTTGGCACCCAAATAAATAGATGTCCCGCTCGGCATGCCGGCGGCGTAGGCGCTAGCGAGGCCATCCTGTACGGAAGCCGCCTCAATGCAAATGCAAAATAAGTTAACAAGATATAAAATATGTATATAGTATGTACCATATGTGCTTCGCTTTACTTATATGCAATATGTCGCATAGCAATCGATCCACACTTATCACGCATCCGCCGTGTGCGCCTGCGGGACAACCATCACCGCCGGCCTTGCTGGTCCGCAGCGTGAGACAGCAGCATTTTGGGCCATGGCCCATGGCAAATACTGTGCGCAGTGTTTCATTTTGGCCAAAAGCAAATAATGTGCGCCACACGCCCAGTTGCCAGCCACCGAGCCAACCAGCCAGATAGGCTTTACGGCCGGTGCCATAAATGATAGCACCAACAACGCGTGGCGCCGTCTGCTCTTCTTCTTCGCGCAGAGTCATAGTCCATATTTAATTATTATTCACATTTAGTTTCTTGTTTCATTTGATGCTTATGACAGCACGCATCATTTATCTTGAAACGCTTCTATTGCAGCCAAATGACAAAAAGCATCTTCATTCTTAACTTAAGCTTGGACAATCCATTCGCCTATCAGGCAAAACTTCTTCCACATTTCAGCTCTATTATCCTTTTTGACATCTTAATTGCAATAACTATAAATTGAAAATCCAAAAACAAAAATGTTTTTTTTTTTCATTACAAAAATTGCATAGAATATTGGTCTTGTATGTTTGACTTTGAAGCTAAATCTTGTCAAGATCGCACTGCTGTAATCAAAAAGCTCTATAGGAAAAATTGCTCTAAAATCGACTTTTGTATGTTTTAAGCAAATTAAGCAATTCCGAGCTTAACTTCTCCCCTCACAAGCCTCTAAGCTGAATCTCTGCAAGGTTATTCAATCTTTGGCGTGCCGAACGTAGCCTTTTCTGTTTCTATATAACTATATATATTTTTTATTCTTCAGCTTATATTGTGTACCTATGTATGTACCTTAAAAAGAACAAAATCTTCACAATATCTATATTAGCAAGGAATCGTTTTCCGACATATCTTATAAAATCACTCTGCGACTCGACATACCTTCGTTGTCGACGGATGCGTTTTTATAGTAATTATGCTTATGTAAATGTAAGATTTTATTTGGATACTTCTCTTTATGCATTTCCAAATGATTGTTGTTTTTGTTATAAGTTGAATCCTTTTAATATTTTATTTACTTTTAATATCGTGTTGCAATGGCAATTTTATATATTATATATACAGTACATTTTGTGATAAGTGAATCGTATCGTTTATTGATAGTTACATAAATAAATATATATTATTGGTAAGAAAGATGTTCACTTACGATAAAGTATTAAATCATATGTATGTTAAGGCTTTCTCAAGCATCTGGTCGAGAAGACCGAAAATTAATGTAAAGATTAAATCAAATCTTATAAATGGTTCTGTAAGCCACACGGAATCGCTAGACTGTGAAGATCATACAGGGTAAGTCCCAAAGGAACTAGCTACAATGAAGACAACTGGCATGGTCTTAATTTATTTCTGATATAATGATAAATGCGCTTACCGTGGACCGAAACCAAAATTCTGATCTCAGATAAGTAAACATATATTGCTGGCTATTCGAAGTGCGTAGGAATTGAAGGAAGATATTTTTCTGGTATCTAAATTTGATACATGGGATTGTAATAATTATTCGTATTGCACAAATGGCAAACACTTTTTAACGAGTTTAGCTCATTTGCTAACAGGATCGTTGTGAAAAATCGGTTTTGAATGTTTCGTTTTACCAATAGAAACAAAAAATAATGCTTATACATAAAATATGTGTATGTATGTTTGTGTGTGCTCGTATGTATAAAAATATCTATGCATAAAATAAATTCCAAATATCTACAAAATTACGCGCTTACGTGCTAATCGATATTGCAAATTATACTATCAAACAATAGAACAAAAAAAAAAAAACAAAAAAAAAGGTATTCCAAAAAATATATCAGCCATGATTAGAACTATCTTTTTAAATTCCATAAAAAAAAAAAAATATATATATATATATATATTGCATACTTTTCGGATAGCATATTAGTTAAGTTAAGAAACGAAAGCCGAGACATTTAAATCGATTCTACGGCAAAAAGTATGCTATACACACATGTGTAGAATGTTTTCGAAAAATAGAAATTGTGATCATGATTGAATATAAATTAAATGCTAATGCAGGCAGAATAAATTGGCAAACAAGTGAATGTTTGGCTATTCAGTTGTTGTCGCTCTTCACTTGATGATAATCTCGGCGGGTGGCAAAATGTTATCGCCATGTAGACAGTACCAGATGCTCGAATACCAAATGGTGCGATCGACCCACTCGCTACCCGCCAGCACGTGCCCAATGAAAGGTGCATCACGTGATCTGCAAAATGGCAAGACGTGAGGAGTTTGGCAAATGGAGCAGCTAGATAAATATCTACCTCATAATTTGCGCCTGGGTACGCTCAACGAATGTGATGGCCCAGCTCCAGGGGAAGTCGCGTTTACGCTCACAGCCCAAATACGCTGTGGAGCTATGGAGAAAGATCTCCCGTACAATAGTCGTCTTGTCGTTCTTGTCCTTCTTGGAGACAACTATTTTGCCATCGCGCAGCTCGCACTGCAGCGTTTTGAACGATTTGGTGCGGTAGTCAGCGAAGCGTAGCTCCTTGCCAGGCGTCACTGTCGCCAGATTCTTGACAGCGCGCTGCACCTCGCGCAGCATGTCAATGGGTCGCACCACCAGATAGTTGTGCTTGCGATCCTCCTCTGGCCAGTAGGACCAGTTCAATATGACGTCGAACACCTTGGCGTCGTGGTGCAGGGGCCGTTCCAGGCTGTCATTAAGTATAACCTCGTACAGTGTCAACTGATGCGTCGGCAGGCACATCTTTGCCGAGTACTCGCGGCACAGCTCATAGGCGGTCTTTGTGGGTGAAATTGTGGCATTAACTTGCGTCTTCTCCTGAAAACAGACGGTGATGCGTTCAGTAAGTTTTTCATGATGTATAACAAAACGATGTGCTCACCTCAGTGGTATTATCTGGATTGGGATTGAGACTGATCCAGATTTTGATGTCGCCCGATTGTTTTACAGCATCCTTCAGTGTCTCGGCGGCCGCATAGTATTTTTGCAGGCACATCAACATCGCCTGTTCCTTTTTCTAAATGGCAAACAGAATGCAAATGAGCTCTAGATAAAGACTAAGGCATATGCTACAAATGCTATAAGGAATTAGCTAAAGAGTTTCCAAAGTTTCACAATTTTGTACAAAAATAGATCAGAATATTTGGGTGTATTTAATCTTCGCCAGCACAACGATACTATTATATTCTAATAAGTAGCAAATGATTGATATCCTTCTATATTGTCTTGATCAGCTTGATTAATCCACACAGCCGTGTGGATCTAGACATGTCTGTCTGTCTGTCTATTCTCATAGCAGAGACAGATCGCAAATGCCCCAAAACGTAATGCTCATTATTTTTGGGTGAACTTTGGTATATACATACTTTTGGCTGCCATATTTAAGCTTTGAATATTTGAACTAGGTAGGACTATAAACAACGTAGTTAGAAAAGAATGCATTTGCCTCATGGCAGAAACGGATCGACTCCCGACTAAAGCGCAGTTAATTGTTTCAGTTTGCAGCTGCGGTTTATGGCATACTGTAAATGCCATTATTTAAAGAGCTAGCCAGTCACAAAATTTGCGGTTGGGTTCAGAATTTCAGATTAGAAGCGCAAGGCAGTTAGCTAGGGTATTGGCGAAATATGTATAGATATTGAGGGTTGTTATATTATTACCATTTCATCGGCGCTGCAGGGAAACAGATTCTTGTAGAGCACGATCAGATCGCTGAGCACATCGGCCTCTTTCTGCGAGTAGATGAGCTCGTCGCACTGTAAATGAGAAGCACTCGGATTAGAAATAGCCAATGGATGGTAAGTGGGCCGGCCGGTGGCGTTACCTTCTTGGCGAGCAGCGTTGGGCCCCATATCATGGTGAGGTTCTGTACGCTCATCTTGTTCTTGGCCTGCTGCGAGCTGATGAACACCAAATGGCCGACAATGCGACGCAGCGTCTCGTGCTCAATGGTGCTGAGCCGGGCGAGCAGCTCCCTATAGATGGGTATCTTCTCGGAGGCCACCGCCAGCTCGGTGACAAACACAAAGCTGTCGGTCAGTTTGCCCAGCAATCTTTCCGGCAGATCGCGCATGAAGCGCTTCAGCACGTTGGCCACGTCGTGTTCATTGTACTCGTTTCGCGTGATCTCCACATTGAACGCGTCCGCCCGGAAGGCGCTCATCAGCTTGTGCATGGAGTTCTCCGAGCCGGACTTGCGGTAAATGCCCTCCGACATGGAGCCATGGATGTACACAAAATTGATGCACTTATCAACAATCACGGGCACGTCGTAGCGCGTCAGCTGCTGATCGCCCAGCGAGAAGCCATTATTGTGCGCCACCTCCCTGATGATGTGACGCCAGATCTTTGTCTCGCGCGCCGAGCTCATTATCATGTAGACGGCATACGGCGGACAGTCGATCATCAGCATTGGTCCGCTCTCCACGTGCAGATTATCAATGGACTCGTCGCTCTCCTTTAGAACTGCAAATGACAAGAGAGGCACAGATGAATGCTGAGATACACACTGACAGAGACAGAGAAGGAGACAGAGACAGAGGCGGC